AACTCTAATCAAAGAATTATACCATAAGCTTTGTGTGAGGAAGGAGTCTACCGTTTCTATCGAGCCTTGATAGTTTAATTCAGACCATAGTTCGAGAATCTCTTTTAGAAAGGGGCTAAGATTGTTAGCAAGCTTCTTCGAGTCTTGTATGTCAAGGTTGCCCCTAAAAACAGTTTGGCCTCCAAGTTTTTCGAGCTCAGCGTCAAAAAAAGTTTCCATTTCCCCTTGTTATTTTCGTTCAGGTCCTTTCTTATCCACACGGACTTAAGGGCTTTATGAAAAGAAGCAATGTCGATCATTCTAAGTCCTCCGTTGCCATAGTTTTGGGTGATAACGTTTCTCTTGATCTTATCACCTTTAATGTTCCAAAGGAAGTCAAAAAAGAGGTCATTTATTTGTTTACGTCTTACATGTTGTTCCCTACCACAAGGAAAAGCACTCGATGTCTATGTGAAATCCTGTATGAAATGTATCTTTCACCTATCATATAGTTGACACTGACGCTAACTAATCTGCTCATAAGTTTCAAGCCAATTGCTTTTGTTCTTAAGAGAATAGCACCACAAAGATAGCAAGAGATTTGCGAAAACATATATATAGTTTTGTCATGTTATGTAAAACGCTACGTAAGAATGCCCTGTTCTGCGTAGTGCACACGGGTACCTACCCACCCAGCCCCACTTCCTGCAAGACTCATTGATTAATAGAAATTAATTAATTAAACTAGCATTAAAGTTTACACCTTATTGCCGTAGTACTTACATCTTTTGCATATAAAATGAAACTTTCCGACTAAAACCAAAAATATCACTCTCTCAAATGAGAGTGACCTTTTTCAATTCAAATAAATTGTTTTCAACTAGAAAAGATGGCGTTTTAGTTAACCTTTCCCAATTCAAGTGGGCGTTGTAAAACTAAACTTGTGCAGCTAAACTTGGACTTATGGGAATAAACTTAGAAATGGTGTTAAAACCAAAATCCAAACTTTTACATCAAAAAGTGGAAGTTTATGAACTGGAAATGGAACTTCTTGAACCTAAAAGGTTATTTCGACTAATTTTTGAGCTAGTTGGACTAGAAATCTTTTCAATAAAGAATGGATCACCGTCAGATAGAAAGACTACTTTTCAAATAAGTGTGGAATGAAACTTCAAGAAATCCAAATGAAACCGTTCTGAGCAGATATACTTTTTAGTGCAGAGTGCACTATTGGGATGGTTATGGGGGTTGCCTGCCGCTAAGGAACTAAGGCGCTATGGCGCTATGGCACTATGGCCCTATGGC